TACAGGAATACTGGTATGTACATGCTATTACTCATATGTCAATTTTTATTTTGTGGTGATTTGCATATGGCATACTTCTGGAAGCTATACTACCAGTATTTTAAGTACCAGCAAGGTCAACCATGATGGACAGATGTCAGCAAAGCTTTCTGAATAAGATGAATAGAAAGAGGACCCAACTTACACATGCATGCACACACACATACAATTTAATTTCCCAGTGAAATCCTTAAGAACATTATTTGATATATCCCTGGAAGATGAGTGCTAGATGAGCCCTTTGGGTTTGATGGCACTCAAAACACAACTGTGGAAACATGAACTCAATCTTAATGACCTGGCTGGAGTAAATCCCTGAGGTCTACCATTTGCTGACATGGCTTAACTGAAAATGAGAAGAAACAGCTGAAAACACCCATTGGTAATTGAAATCTAGAATATGCAAAGTGTAAGTCTAGCAAAATCAAAAGTCAACAAAAATGGAATTGAAGAAAGATATCCTAGGCATTTAGTGAGCTGAAATGGACTGCTATTGGCCATTTTGATTTGGATTGATTTACTATGACATAAATGACAAATTGAAGAGCAATAATATCACTTTCATCATAAAAAATAACACTTGAAGATCTATCCTGAACTACACTGATCTCAGAAATAGGCTAATATCCAAAAAAGACCATGCAATAGGATCATTATTCAAACAAATGTACCAGCCACTAAGGGCAAGTATAAAGAAACTAAAGATTATTATCAACAATCTGAAGTGAGTCAAACATTTCATCCAGAGGAAAATGCATTCCGCATTTCTCAAGTGAAAATAAATCAAGGTAAACTTGAATCCCAATTGCAATATTGAAGGATTCAAAAGAAAAAGCAATGAAATATAAGAAGCATCAAAAGAAGATTTAAAAAATCAAAGGGTCATGGTACCAAAAATAATTAGCTCATGTTCAATGGTTTCAGGGTGCAGCACATGGTCAAGAATTGACAGTACAGGAGGAAGTTCAAGCTGCATTGAAGGCAAAGGCAAGGCTCTAGGAACTTATAGAACACCAACTGGCTGGGAGGTTTTAACAAGCAAATATAATGCTGGCAGTGCTCATCTATCTATGACAAGAAATTTGGAAAACTGCTACCTGGCCATCTGAATGGAAGAAATTTATATTTATGTTTACTCCCCCCAAAACGTGATGCAACAGAATGTGGAAATCATCAAACATTACATAATTAGTATCACACACAAAGAAAAAAGAATGCTCTTCGGAAGATCATTAAAAAACAGTTGCAGTAGTACGTCCAAAGGGAACTGCCAGAAATTCAAGCTGGATTCAGAAGAGGATGTGGAAGGAAGAATTTCAGAGTTAACATAAGATGGCTTTTAGATGAAAGCAGAGAAATACTAGAAAGATTTTTGTTTGTGTTTTATTGATTATGGAATGGCACTCCATGATACGGATCCAAAAAAAGTTATCAATAACTTTGAGAAAAATGGGACTTCCACCACACTTGATTATGCTCATACTGAACATGGATGTCGATCAAGGGGCAGTCATTCAAACAGAACACGAGCATCAGTAGTATATGGTTTAAAATTAGAAAACACGTGCACCAGGTTTTGTTACACAATCTGAAGTCGATTTGAGACTATTAAAAGTGAAGGGGTGGAGTTTAGCCTATCATTCAGGTCTCAGATTGATGGCCTCATTTAGGCACTACAGAGATAAATAGCTCACTGGAGGTCAGTGGACAGATGGGCTAATACC